TTATGGGGTAGAGAAATATATATTCATGGACTTATTTGGTAGAAATGATATGATGTTTCAGAGTTTGATGAATGAGGATATAATAAAGAGGATTTGATGCCCTAACACTCATGGGACGAAGATGAAGAGTAAAAGTTTATAATGCTCTAACAAACGTGTGCAGGAAAATTAAAATCTGTAACATATGATAAAGAAAAGACTAAAAACAAAGAGATTCGATGTTTTAATGGTGGTGGAGCAAAGTATTTGAAACTTCATCAAATATGGGAACAAGGGCTTGAAGATTCAACAGATATGAAAAATAAAAATATTTCAAGCTTCAACACTGACCTATGTAGGACACACAGTTCGATGCGCTTAAATAAATATCTGGACGAATAAAAGGATTAGATGTTGATGTAACAAGAGTTATAGAATAAAAAGAATCTGATTACTTAAGAAACGTAACACGCAATAATTGATGATCTATAACAAATATGTGGTCAAAAACATGTGATATATAAGATCTAATGCTCCAACACACGTGATATATAAGATCTAATGCTCCAACACACTTGATATATAAGATCTAATGCTCCAACACACGTGATATATAAGATCTAATGCTCCAACACACTTGATTATAAGATCTAATGCTCCAACACACGTGATATATAAGATCTAATGTTCCAACACACGTGATATACAAGATCTAATGTTCCAACACACGTGATATATAAGATCTAATGCTCCATCACACGTGATATACAAGATCTAATACTCCATCACACGTGATATACAAGATCTAATGCTCCAACACACGTGATATACAAGATCTAATGCTCCAACACACGTGATATACAAGATCTAATGCTCCAACACACGTGATATACAAGATCTAACACACGTGATATACAAGATCTAATGCTCCAACACACGTGATATACAAGATCTAATACTCCAACACACGTGATATACAAGATCTAATGCTCCAACACACGTGATATACAAGATCTAATGTTCCAACACACGTGATATACAAGATCTAATGTTCCAACACACGTGATATACAAGATCTAATGTTCCAACACACGTGATATACAAGATCTAATGTTCCAACACACGTGATATACAAGATCTAATGCTCCAACACACGTGATATACAAGATCTAATGCTCCAACACACGTGATATACAAGATCTAATGCTCCAACACACGTGATATACAAGATCTAATGCTCCACACGTGATATACAAGACCTAATGCTCCAACACACGTGATATACAAGACCTAATGCTCCAACACACGTGATATACAAGACCTAATGCTCCAACACACGTGATATACAAGATCTAATGCTCCAACACACGTGATATACAAGATCTAATACTCCAACACACGTGATATACAAGACCTAATGCTCCAACACACGTGATATACAAGACCTAATGCTCCAACACACGTGATATACAAGACCTAATGCTCCAACACACGTGATATACAAGACGTGATATACAAGACCTAATGCTCCAACACACGTGATATACAAGACCTAATGCTCCAACACACGTGATATACAAGATCTAATGCTCCAACACACGTGATATACAAGATCTAATGCTCCAACACACGTGATATACAAGACCTAATGCTCCAACACACGTGATATATAAGATCTAATGCTCCAACACACGTGATATACAAGATCTAATACTCCAACACACGTGATATACAAGATAATGCTCCAACACACGTGATATACAAGACCTAATGTCCAACACACGTGATATACAAGACCTAATGCTCCAACACACGTATACAAGACCTAATGCTCCAACACACGTGATATACAAGATCTAATGCGCCAACACACGTGATATACAAGACTGCGCGCCAACACACGATATACAAGACCTATATGCTCCAACACACGTGATATACAAGATCTAATGCGCCAACACACGTGATATACACAGATCTAATGCGCCAACACACGTGATATACAAGACCTAATGCTCCAACACACGTGATATACAAGACCTAATGCTCCAACACACGTGATATACAAGATCTATCGCGCCAACACACGACAAGATCTAATGCTCCAACACACGTGATATACAAGATCTAATGCGCCAACACACGTGATATACAAGATCTAATGCTCCAACACACGTGATATACAAGACCTAATGCTCCAACACACGTGATATACAAGACCTAATGCTCCAACACACGTGATATACAAGACCTAATGCTCCAACACACGTGATATACAAGACCTAATGCTCCAACACACGTGATATACAAGACCTAATGCTCCAACACACGTGATATACAAGATCTAATGCGCCAACACACGTGATATACAAGACCTAATGTTCCAACACACATGATATACAAGACCTAATGCTCCAACACACGTGATATACAAGACCTAATGCTCCAACACACGTGATATACAAGATCTAATGTTCCAACACACATGATATACAAGACCTAATGCTCCAACACACGTGATATACAAGACCTAATGCTCCAACACACATGACATACAAGATCTAATGCTCCAACACACGTGATATACAAGACCTAATGCTCCAACACACGTGATATACAAGACCTAATGCTCCAACACACGTAAGACAGAGGATCTGACGACACAAGGGAGGAGAGATTCAATGTTCCTCCACAACCAGGATGAAGTATAAGGGATTAAAGAAACAAAATACCTGATATTGTAGCATAATGGAGGATTAATAGATAGAAAGAGGATCAAAGGCTCTATCTCCAGTATAAGACATCTACAGTAGCTCTCCAAAACATAAGGGGTCGAGGGATAAAGCGATCTTTCAAATAGACTAAGTCACTATACAATCTAATTCTTTTACATGTCAGAGAGAGAGAGAGAGAGAGAGAGAGAGAGAGAGAGAGAGAGAGAGAGAGAGAAAAGAACAAGTGGGTCATTTGGATACAAGATCTGATAGTCTGAAACTGGATGGTATAGAAAAACTGATTTCCCGATAACTGTTATAGAAAGGATCTACTACTTGAGGAATAAAATATCACAAGTGAAAGAAGATAAACATAGGGAAGAGGATCACTGGCTTTTGGATATGGGGAAGAAAGGATCATACAATAGATAGAGGATCGGATTATCTTTAAAAAATATATAAATGATTTGATTCTCTATATATGTGATAATAATAAACAGGCTAGACAAATCGATAAAAGCTGTAACTCCTTAACATACGTAAGGCAGAAGATATTATGGGATCTAATGCTGTTAAACTATAAGGTTATAGAACCTGATGATCTGACAGAAACAGGGGCAGAGAAGATAATCAGTTATATAGGTAGAGTGAGATCTGAAACCCCCTATAGGCTTGAGATGAAGGATTTAACGATCTTAGAGACGTTGAATGAAGGAGTTAATGATCTCAGAGACGTGGGATGAAGGATTTAACGATCTCAGAGACGTGGGATGAAGGATTTAACGATCTCAGAGACGTGGGATGAAGGATTTAACGATCTCAGAGACGTGGGATGCAGGATTTGATGATCTCAGAGACGTGGGGTAAAGGATTTAACGATCTCAGAGACGTGGGATGAAGGATTTAACGATCTCAGAGACGTGGGATGCAGGATTTGATGATCTCAGAGACGTGGGGTAAAGGATTTAACGATCTCAGAGACGTGGGATGAAGGATTTAACGATCTCAGAGACGTGGGATGAAGGATGTGATGCTGTAACAGATTTTTGGCCGTGGGTTGAAGGACGTGATGCTGCAACAGATCTTTGGCCATGGGTTGAAGGGTGTGATGCTGTAACAGATCTTTGGCCGTGGGATGAAGGACGTGATGCTGCAACAGATCTTTGGCCATGGGTTGAAGGGTGTGATGCTGTAACAGATCTTTGGCCGTGGAGGTAACACACTCCTACACCAAGTGGGACTCAGACAAGCTGACGACCGGGGGAAAGAGGGAGTAAATGAGGAGGAAGAGCAAGTGAGGAAAGAGGAAGAGGGGAGAACAAAAAACGGAAAAACGATAACGAGACGATAAGAGGAACTGTAAAGATTGAGGGAACCAAAGAAAGGATGAAGGCGGTACACAAAAAAGGAGGGAGGAAGGGAAGAAACGAAGAGAGGAGGAAACAAGGAGGAGGGAAGGGAACAAAGAGGGAGGAGAGATACAAAATGGAGGTAGGGGGAAAAGCGAGGATGGAGGTAGGAGGGGGAGAAATAAGAAAGGAGGCAATAAATTGAAGAGGAAGAAGAAATCGTGGTAGAGGGAAGAAGGGGACAAGGAGGAGAAATAAAAGAAAAAGAAGGATGATGCGTGGAGGACAGAACAAGGAGAAGGAATAGACGAAGAAAAAGACGTGTGAGAGGAAACAAGGAAGAAGAAGAAGAAGGAGGAGGCGTAGTGTCGGAGCAGGCAGGTGAGGCAGGTAGTGGAAAGGAGAGGTGGTGATGAGGGAGGGGTGTGGTGGTGAGGGTGGGGTGTGGTGGTGAGTGGTAGGGTGTGGTGGTGAGGGTGGGGTGGTGGTGAGGGTGGTATGGTGAAAAAGGGATGGTGGTGGGTGAGGCAGATGGTGGTGAGGGAGGAGGAGTGAGTCAGGTGGTGGTGAGGGATGGGGAGGTTGAAGGTTGGTGGTGAGGGTGGTGAGGGAGGGGGGAGGTTAAGGTGTTGGCGAGGGTGGTGAGGGAGTATATGACTTTGTAAACACTAACATTAAAATACAACATGGATACAATTTATGTTTACTCAGACTGAGAAGGTTTTTTTTAGATTATAACTCAGGCTGTGGGTGAGGATGACTCCACCCCCTCTCCCTCACTCAATGGCACTGAGACATCTTGTAGTGCCAATGACCGACTGAGACTAGGCAGGTATACTCAGCTAGCACCGGGGAGGTGATGGAGATAGCTGGCACAAGGGACAAGTGATGTGTTAACCAGGTAGAAGAGACACAAGAGGGATACTGGTAAGAGAACTGAACTGTGGTGGTTACTTACCAACAGTGCCAGGCAGGTACGGGCAACTGGTGACGTGGTTGAAGTTCTGACTCTGCATCTCCTCTTGGTCAGTCTCCCGATGGTAAAAGTAGTTGAAGTTTGACACGATAACGGGAACAGGAAGAGCGATGGTGAGCACGCCGGCGATGGCACACAGGGACCCAACGATCTTGCCCCACACACCCACGGGCCTGGGGGGCAAGACAGGTCAGTACCCACAGTTCAAGGCACCTTATTATGGGGGGCAAGATGGGGCAAGAGCAAGATCTATGCTTTGTAGGGGGTAACTAGATTCACAAGAAAATATTTCTCTTGAAACAAATCTGGAGGAGGCCTATGGACAAAGGGAACATGTAGTAGGGCCGTTCCCGTGGTCATGCTGGTGTGAGAATTTAGCTTCACAAGAGAGATCTCATTTGACTGACTAATTTGAGATAGGATATTATCCTCCCCTCGATATATTTCTCATGATTATTTCCTCTCTAAGCTGAAATATATCAAGATATATCCTACCTGGAGGAACATAAGCGAGGCAAGCAAGTGTCCACTGCAGTATAGTGTGTGGACTGTGAGATTACCACACCCTGTGTCGCGGTGACACCTCTCCCACCATCACACTCTACACCTACTGTACTGCTCACAAAAGTCTCTGGTCATGGTACTCTGTTGAGCCAACTTAACTCACTATCATTCACTTGCTAAACTATAAATTTTCTTTTTGTACCTAATGTGAAAAATGGAACTACTGTACCCCAGAAATTATACCCCCTTATATCATTCCATAATTATAAATATTTGATAAATCTAGCATTAGAGAGAGCCCCCACTGCAGACAGCTCTACTAGAGAGTTAGGCAAGCTTAAAGAGAGAAGTTAGACTAAAAAGTCACTAAAAGTTTTCAGATTCTAGCCTAAAGTTCACTAAAAGGGTATAGTATTAATTGCAGTATCTACGAAATATTCAGAAACTAAGCTAAGTGTTGTGGAAAAAGCTGCTGAAACTGGTGAACATCAGTACAAAGTACAGAAATATGAAAAACCTTTTAAAAAATATAGGCATCTGTGCTTGCAAAGGTAAAAAATAATAATAATAATAATTAAATTTCTACTGTGGTGCAAACTGAAGCTAGTCTCGTTACCGCCTGTCCTTTGAAGGGATCGGCTATGGTAAAAAAAGGGAAATGTCAACTGAGTATCAATAATTACCCGGGAAAATATAAACAACGAGTAATGAACACCTGGGTGGGTTGGGAAGAGGGAGGGAGGGGGATCCAATACTAATGTTATACAGCAGATTGTTGGTGGAAGTGGGATTCAAGGCTACTCACTCGGGGATATGAATGGTACAAAGGTTTTGATACATTGTTTAGGATTGGATGCTGGGGGTTATATGCCACATTATAGGGAGTTACTAGGGAATTTGGGAATCATTACTTCTACTATAAAGGCTTGGGGAGAGTGGAATCTAATTCTATTATCACAAAGGATTGGGTGAGACAAGGTTCGGCACATCCTACTGACTTAGGGATTTTAGGAAAATCTACTGAGATCACACAAGGTTTGGTTTTATATATATATATATATATATATATATATATATATATATATATATATATATATATATATATATATATATATATATATATATATATATATATATATATATAAGGATTTTTTTGCTTGACTTCTTAGGAACTATTGACAAGGGTGTCCACTGAGGGCTGACTAACAAGTATGCCATATCAAAGGGACGAGAAAGGAATAACTTAACCTACATCAGGATTGGAGGACAAAGTCCTTTCTAAAACTAGGCTCGTAATTTTAGAGAATAAGGAGCTGAGCTCACTCATCACCAGCTTTGGACGGTTTAAGTCTCTGACGTCTCAACACGACCAAGTGACTCAACTCAGAGCAAGATTATAATGCATTCCTTGACCGATCTTATGTACAATCCCACGAGGGACCCGTAAACTGCAGAGAAGACACTGGAGACCAAGAGAGGCTATGTTAAGGTACCGTTCAATGCTGGCGAGGTTGAGAGAGAGCCACTCGTGTATAAGAGGAGCCTTAACATAATAGAGGGATCCCTCTCACTAGCACGGGAGGCAGGGGTGGGTCGCAACAGACAGCTGCCCCTCAAGAGGCCAGCGGCAGGACGGGATACATCACTGTCACAACTACTATGATCAAGGTGGTGATGACAACTACCCAACTCTTATCATAAGGTTACACAACATTATAACTTTTATTAAAAGGTAATCAAAAGGATTTAGGTGGTGAAGGGTTCCTTATTACTAGTCTACACACTAGGTTATCTGGAGTTCATTTCTACAATTTTTTATAAAGTTGGTTGACAGGCTTACACCTCTGTCCTTCAAGGAAGTAATAATGACTCTTGGGGCTTATGGCTAACTTAAAAGTGCACAATAAATATATCTTATATTCGTATCAAACAGATGACTAACGTTCGTATCTGTTTTGGATGGTAATCAAAATTGCCAGTACTAGGTTATGGTGTTTAGAATGCACTATTTACCTGTTTTGTTATTATTTAAACCTTCTGTGTGGTTAATGAATACAGTGTTAGATAATAGGCTTCGCATTCCTTTGTGTGCCACTCGAGGTGATCAATAATACCATCGTACTGGGTTAAGGAATCGGGTTAAGAAGAGATTGAGTAGGATTCAGTACTTATTCTAGAGGATTGGGAGGAAAGGATTGAAGATATGGCAAGGATACTGGGCATTATACAGTGTGGTACTTGTAGGATTCACTACCAGAGTTAAAGAGGATTAGAAAGTAGGTAAATAAAGTAGAGGGTAACCTATACAGGATCAGATACAAACTGTGTGGTACTTGAAAGCTTGTCAATAGACAGACAGTGAAAGACAAGTTTAAGAAGAGAAACTTGAGTATAAAAAGCCAAAAGCTGAGTCATTGTATCATATTCTAGAACTCTTATCATCTATATATCAATACAAACTTGTAAAAATGTCTCTGTGACATAATTATCGTCAGGCATTAGCATAATTTCTAAAGGTTCAATCCGCGTTGAGAATACTAAAACTAACGATAGTACAGAACACTAACACAGACACACATTTGTGTATATATATATATATATATATATATATATATATATATATATATATATATATATATATATATATATCTATATATACGTTCACACATTATTTTATTTTATTTTGATTGTCCCTTGCTCTCCTTTTCTAGAATATGATACAAAATAGGCGAGTGCAGGCTGGCTAGGTACCGTCATGTGAGGGGCCTGAGGCGCCCATTTACTAGTAACATGCAAGCTATGTCTAGTAGTCCCTTCCTAGTGGGGTGGAGGGAAACTGATGGTAACGGCGGATCTGTCTCAGTCGTCAGCAACTTGTGATGTGCGTGATACATGATGTGGAAAGCTTTACATTATTATAAACTCGATGCCAGAAATGTCAATAAGCCATGCTCGACCTATACCAAGGAAGATATGTTTGATAAGAACAAGAAAAAAGTCAGCAAGAGCCACTTTCCGGGATGTGAGGCCGGTAAAATGGGTCTTAATGCAGTAGTGCTCATAGTTGCCCGCGTGAACAAATGTCATCATTTGTCAAAAAAAAAAATAATAAAATACTCTTGCCATACACATCTCCCCTGAGTTGTGGTCTACCAGGGAAGTCTTATTGACATATAACCCGCCGTGAGTTAACTATCCGGCATGCACAAGTAGTCAAACAGGGAGTGTGTGAAGACATGATCCAGTTCGTCCGTCAATGCTTGTAGGGCCAAAGATGGCGGTGAAAAAAAAAGATACAAAGGCAGTACATAATCCAAGTGTGGCACCTACGACCAAGTACACTTCAGGGGCTCGATACCCGCCAAGTGTAGTTGGTCACTCCGGCTAGGGCATTACCCGTCCTCACGACTTTGATTAATATCCTGCGCGGTACAGTGGTCGGGTGGGGAACAGGTCTGTGATGTGGTTTTCCCTCTGAGTCGAACTGGATTTCCTTCAGCAGCGTTACTATAATACGTAACAAGAGTCTATGTATATCACGACACGCGTCACTGTTGTATACACCTACAGTAACAGCGTGTGTGTACGCAATGAAAACATCGTCTGCTTCAAGAGTAGCAGTCGTTTAGTACTTTTGTTTACCGCAGAGCAGACCTGTTCCCCTCCCGCCCGGCGTGACCGTGTTGGTACTGGTGTGTGTCAGGTACTGTGTGTGTGTGTGTGTGTGTGTGTGTCAGGTACTGTGTGTGTGTGTGTGTGTGTGTGTGTGTGTGGGCATGTCTGGGCGTGTGAACATGCTGGTGAGTGTAGGGCCGTAGGCCGCTGAGAGAGCTGGGAAGGGACTCGCCGGGCTAGTGTCATGCAGGATAGCCACAGGAGGCTCATGTGACCCGTACGTCATATCTCCATAGCCCACTGTTGTCATGGTGACGACCGCCCACCAGAAGGCATCAGGAATAGACTTGAAGTAGGATTTTTCTGAGCCTGCCTCGGCGAAGTACACAGCACTTGAGAAGAGTACCACACCTGCAATAGGAACAGACACATTGAGGCCTCACTCCCCAGGGCAGAAGAAGAAGGGGCGGGAAGGTTCTCGGGGGCGCTCTGGGGGGGCTGTAGGGGGGTGGCATGTGCAGGGCTCCCCCAGTGACACGACCCCCCAGTTTGGCTACGCCCCCTAGCTTCCCCCTGGTGAGGAAGGCGCTGGGGAAAAGCTGGGGATGAAAGACTAGCGCGAGTGGTTGGTAGGGAAGGTGGGCTGCAGGAAGGACCAGCAGGAGCCGACTCCCGCAGGAGTGGACGCCTCTGACAGTGACACCTCCGGCTGCTCCTGACGGTGCTCGCGTCTCCTAGAGCAACGCCCGCCACCGCTGACAACTGATATGATTGGCATGTGAGGACGTGTTCGTGAAACGAATTCTAAATCAGAAGGACAGTTCAAAACCGACAGCATGTCTGCTGGTGCTGACATGTGAGGATGAACAACCTGGCGAAGGGAGTGTGGCTGGTGCGGGTGTTGCGTGCCCCGGGAACGGCACCGTCAGGGGCTCCGGAAGGAAGAGTGAGACAGCGGCAGCAGCAGCAGCGGCAGCAGCGTCACCCATTTACCTCATGTCTCCATAGCCCACTGTGGTCATGGTGACAACCGCCCACCAGAACGCGTCCGGGATGCTCTTGAAGCAGGACCGCTCAGAGCCGGCGTCAGCGAAGTACACGGCCGACGAGAATAACACGACGCCTGCAACACACAACCCGGGGCGTGGTCACCTCCGCCTGCCTGCCTCCCGCCCGCCCCTCCCCGCCCCTCCCCGCCCTGCCCTGCCCAGCCCCGCCACCACCTCCCCGCCCACCACACCCACTCCTCCAACACCAAGAACAACCACAACACCGAGATAGAGGAGTAAAAACAGCCGCTACACAGTACTGTAGATGTTACATGAACGGCTCTACGTCACAACCAGCGGGGGAGACATACACAGCGAGTACACATGCACACCGCCAACACACTATGTACATCAAAAGTGAGAGCAAGTACCTACAGAAGGGGCACACATGGTTATACATATACACAAAAAGACATTTACACCCAAGCACACGGACGCTCGCATGCTCGTCCACCTCTCACACCTACACAAACACGGACGGGCATGTGCGAACACACACATACACACGGGCGGAAATGCGCACACACACACACACACACACACACACACACACAAATACAAACGCGCGCACACACACACACACACACACACACACACACATACACCATCATGTTGCCTTTTTCATCAAGGTGAAGTACAGAGGCCGTAAGGACAGCTAACAAGTGACTGAGACTCTACAGGGGTCATTGTTCCGCATCACTACGTCACAGCCCAGTGTCTCGTGACGTCACAGTTAGGCTTATTCATTATCGATGAGGTCATCTCCGGCGAGCTTTCAAGTGGTCCGTGACGCCATAGTTAGCTACCTTTTAGGGAATCAATATTTTCATTATCTGTGACGTCATATTTTTTCAAGTTGTGACGGCAACGTTAACGCTCAGCTGATGACGTCATGGCTTGTGACGCATTAGGTACAAACACATGATGACGTCACTGCCAACTCTCTGTCAATAGTGGCGTCACAATCCAGTGGAATTTAATTTCTTGAAATGCCAACAGTAAGTGAATGAGATTTTCTCCGGTTCACTGGTGAAGCTTATGCATGGGTGACGAAGGAAAGAACGCCAATGCCGGCAACAGAAAGCTCACCTCAAGTTATCGTGATGGTAGGATGAAGTGACGGTAGGATGAAGTGACGGTAGGATGAAGTGACGGTAGGATGAAGTAATGGTGGGATGATGTGATGATGGTGGGATGAAGTGATGGTAGGATGAAGTGATGGTAAGATGAAGTGACGGTAGGATGAAGTAATGGTGGGATGATGTGATGATGGTGTGATGAAGTGATGGTAGGATGAAGTGATGGTGGGATGATGTGATGATGGTAGGATGAAGTGATGGTAGGATGAAGTGATGGTGGGATGATGTGATGATGGTAGGATGAAGTGATGGTAGGATGAAGTGATGGTAGGATGAAGTGATGGAAGGATGATGTGATGGTGGGATGATGTGATGATGGTGTGATGAAGTGATGGTAGGATGAAGTAATGGTGGGATGATGTGATGATGGTGGGAAGGAAGTGATGGTAGGATGAAGTGATGGTAAGATGAAGTGACGGTAGGATGAAGTGATGGTAAGATGAAGTGACGGTGGGATGAAGTAATGGTGGGATGATGTGGTATGGGGGATGAAGTGATGGTAGGATGAAGTGATGGTAAGATGAAGTCGGTAGGATGAAGTAATGGTGGGATGATGTGATGATGGTGTGATGAAGTGATGGTAGGATGAAGTGATGGTAGGATGATGATGGTAGGATGAAGTGATGGTAGGAAGTGATGGTGGGATGATGTGATGATGGTGGGATGAAATGATGGTAGGATGGAGTGACGGTAAGATGAAGTGACGGTAGGATGAAGTGACGGTAGGATGAAGTGATGGTAAGATGAAGTGACGGTAGGATGAAGTAATGGTGGGATGATGTGATGATGGTGGGATGAAGTGATGGTAGGATGAAGTGATGGTAAGATGAAGTGACGGTAGGATGAAGTGATGGTAGATGAAGTGACGGATGAAGTGAGGTGGGATGATGTGATGATGGTGGGATGAAGTGATGGTAGGATGAAGTGATGGTAAGATGGTGACGGTAGGGATGAAGTAATGGTGGGATGAAGTGATGGTAGGTGTGATGAAGTGATGGTGGGATGAAGTGATGGTAGGATGAAGTGGTAGGATGAAGTGATGGTAGGAAGTGATGGTGGGATGATGTGATGATGGGTGGGATGATGGTAGGATGAAGTGATGGTAGGATGAAGTGACGGTAGGATGAAGTAATGGTGGGATGAAGTGATGGGGATGATGTGATGATGGTGGGATGATGATGGTAAGATGAAGTGATGGTAGGATGGTGATGGTGGGATGATGTGATGATGGTGGGATGAGTGATGGTAGGATGAAGTGATGGTGGGATGAAGTGATGGTGGATGAAGGTGATGGTAGGATGAAGTGATGGTAGATAGTGATGGTAGGGATAGGTGGGATGATGTGATGATGGTGGGATGAAGTGATGGTAGGATGAAGTGATGGTGGGATGAGTGATGGTAGGATGAGTGATGGTAGGATGGTGATGGTAGTATGAAGTGGTAGGATGAAGTGATGGTAGGATGAAGTTATGGTAGGTAGAAGTGATGGTGGGATGAAGTTATGGTGGGATGAAGTGATGGTGGGATGATGTGATGATGGTGGGATGGAGTGATGGTAGGGATGAAGTGATGGTAGGATGAAGTGATGGTAGATGAAGTGATGGTAGGATGAAGTGATGAGGATGAGAGTGATGGTAGATGAAGTGATGGTAGGATGAAGTGATGGTGGGATGATGTGATGATGGTGGGATGGAAGTGATGGTAGGATGAAGTGATGGTGAGTAAAGTGATGGAAGGATGAACTTGATGGTAGGATGAAGTGATGGTAGGATGATGAAGTGTTGGAGGATGAAGTGATGGGGTGATGAAGTGATGGTGGGATAGAAGTGATGGTGGGATGATGTGATGATGGTGGGATGAAGTGATGGTAGGATGAAGTGATGGTAGGATGAAGTGATGGTAGGATGAAGTGATGGTGGATGAAGTGATGGTAGGATGATGATGGTAGGATGAAGTGATGGTAGGATGAAGTGATGGTGGATGATGTGATGATGGTGGGATGAAGTGATGGTAGGATGAAGTGATGGTAGGATGAAGTGATGGAAGGATGATGTGATGGTAAGATGAAGTGATGGTAGGATAGTGATGGTGGGATGATTGATGATGGTGGGATGAAGTGATGGTAGGATGAAGTGGATGGTGGGATGAAGTGATGGTAGGATAGTGATGGTAGGATGAAGTGATGGTAGGATGAAGTGATGGTAGGATGAAGTGATGGTGGGATGAAGTGATGGTAGGATGAAGTTATGGTGGGTAGAGAAGTGATGGTAGGATGAAGTTATGGTAGATAGAGAGTGATGGTGGGATGGAAGTGATGGTAGGATGAAGTGATGGTGGGATGATGTGATGATGGTGGGATGAAGTGATGGTGGGATGAAGTGATGGTGGGATGATGTGATGGTGGGATGAAGTGATGGTAGGATGATGGAAGTGATGGTGGGATGGTGATGGTGGGATGGAAGTGATGGTGGGATGATGGGTAGGATGAAGTGATGGTGGGTGTGATGGGTGGGATGAAGTGATGGATAGTTGATGGTGGGATGAAGTGATGGTAGGATGAAGTGATGGTGGGATGAAGTGATGGTAGGATGAAGTGATGGTGGGATGAAGTGATGGTAGGATGAAGTGATGGTGGATGAAGTGATGGTAGGATGAAGTGATGGTAGGATGAAGTGATGGTGGGATGAAGTGATGGTAGGATGAAGTGATATGGTAGGATGAAGTGATGGTGGGATGAAGTGATGGTAGGATGAAGTGATGGTAGGATGATGAAGTGATGGTGGGATGAAGTGATGGTAGGATGAAGTGATGGTAGGATAGTGATGGTAGGATGAAGTGATGGTAAGATGAAGTGATGGTGGGATGAAGGTGATGGTAGGATGAAGTGATGGTGGGATGAGTGATGGTGGGATGAAGTGATGGTGGGTAGAAGTGATGGTAGGATGAAGTGAGGTAGGATGAAGTGATGGTGGGATGAAGTGATGGTAGGATGATGATGGTAGGATGAAGTGATGGTAGGATGAGTGATGGTAGGATGAAGTGATGGTAGGATGAAGTGATGGTAGGATGAAGTGATGGTAGGTAAGTGATGGTAGGATGAAGTGATGGAAGGATGGTGATGGTAGGATGAAGTGATGGTAGGATGAAGTGATGGTAGGATGAAGTGATGGTAGGATGAAGTGATGGTAGGATGAGTGATGGTGGGATGAAGTGATGGTGGGAT